TTTATTAACTGATCCAAGACATTTTCAAAACAAACAAATAGAAGCCACTTCTAAAATTTTATTTGATAAATACTATCATGAGACATATGTTTTGTTTGTAACTATAATACCATCAGATTCTCCAGAAAAAAAGACCAAATGATCATTTTAATTTTTTTGTTTTGCTTTATTTTTTTTACTTTTAATTAACTTTATTGGTGCATTTTAGGTATACATTATGATCACATTCATCATTGGGAATTTGTACCTGCCCATGATATAACTTAGTTCTTGTTTTTTCCCATTCCCCCGCCCTCCCTTCCACCTCTCCACCCCTTACTATTTACAAAAGCTTTGTTTCCGTTTTTTCCTTCTTTTCTCATATTTTCTTTCACTTTCTTTCCTTTCCCCCATCCTCCCTACTTCCCCTTCCCTTTTGAACCTTTGCTTCCTATTTCACATTACCTATTATACATTTGGGTTCTCATTTACACTTTCAGTTTCTCACACCAGAGAGACAACTTGGCATTTACACATGTGTGTCCTATTTATTTCACCGAAGAGTATGGCCTCGATATGCACCCATTTAGCTATAGATGTCTCTAGTTTATACAACCATTTTAATTTTAAAGCCATGTCATGTTATTAAAATATTGGAGGCAGAGAATTAGTGTTTGTTTCCAGCCATTTCATTCCATTATGATATGGGATGTTATTATTTATTGCTCACTTGACTTTTGCTACCAACCAAGTAATGATTAATTTCCTGAGTTAAATTGTTTTCCTGTGCAAAAGATCCCAGAAGGACGAGAGCAGCATTCCCCAGCTGCCTGTCCCATCCAGCTGTTACCCTGAGGAGGCTTCAGAGGAGCTCTGAGTGGAAGCTGTTTCTAGACCTTCCCTTAGGGGTCTGAGGAAATTTTTAACTGGGTGCAAACTTATTTGAGTGGGTCTCTGAAGAATGGCCAAAGGAGAAGGCACAGAGGTAGAAAACTGGCATCTCTTCCATGTAATTACCATTTTCTTTTCTTTTGCCTCCATTACCCGTGAAATAGCCACATAGAGGGTAATACCTTTTTCCATACTGCCCCACTCTGAAAGGTGTGATGAGCCTGCTAGACAATGCCTGTCTTTGCTGACGGGAGGATGCCTATGAGCTGTAGCACCATCCACAGAAATTCAAACGTCATATCCTCTGAGCTTTATCCTCCTAGAACTGAAAAGCATTAGGGAAAATTTTAAATGTGAACGTGAAACTGTGTTTGGGATACCGCTCCTTTGTTGGCAGTGGGAGCCAAAAATGACTTTGCCTGGTTTTGGTTACCATAAAAAGAAATCCCAGTGAATAAAATGATAACTAGCTGTTTTGTTTTGATAGAAGAATTGCTCTCCTATTGCGTTTTTCAACATACATGCTGATTTGTAAAACATTGGAATTTACTTTTAGCATCCTATTAAAGATTCTAAAAAACAAATGAAATCTATATGATCCTAAAGAAGTAATGTAGCTATAATTAACCACATTACTATAGATCTTTATGATTCTAAGTAGGTCTACATTAAGACAATTAATCAAAAATTGTGGAATATACAATGATACATTTGATGATTTGTAATACGAGGTGCAAAGAATTTTCCTAGACTCAGTGATCATTGAATGTAGATTTTCTTCTCTAATATATTTATAAGAGTTTTATCATCTATGAACATTTTTCTATATTTTGATAATAAAACACAAGCTCAAGTATTTATGTCATTTTTGGAAGAATTGGGTCACTAAATACAAGTGTCATTTTAAAAAATTAAACCTTGGATTAAATTTCTAAACTCTTATGGTTTGTACAATTAGTTTCTTTTCCTCAGTTAAGTTTTAACACTACCAAATCCTCTTCGGATTTAAAGAAAAAGATATCCCATAGGCAGTAATGGACATATGATATGGATCATTTCCATCACAGATTTTTTTCTTTTCAATTTCCAAAACAAAGTAGGGATAGACAAACAGTTAATAGAAGTCCACATTTGTAATGGTTCATGAATGCAATCAGTAAATTTCCAAAGAGAACCATCACTCATTTTCTCTCCCACCTACATTTTTCTGTATGTCTCAGAAACTCTAAGAAAGGAAGTGATTTTTGTGGGTAGCAGTTAGTGGAAGCCTCCCCAAGTCGAGTGTTGGAGAGAATAATACATCCCCAAATATGTTCGCAATCTAATATAAAAGTTTTATGTGAGACAAAAATGATATCCAGCTCCCTAGCAATAGTCTTAAGCCTTGCACTGAAGTGAGAAGTTTGGTGCTGGGTCAGAGGAATCTCCATGCCACTGGGGCTTCCAGCTCAGCACAAAAAGGGCTCTCCCTGAAGGACTCCTGAGGAACCAGGTCTGGGATTCCATCTTGTTTTCTGAATATGCAAATAGTGGGCCACCACTTATCTTAGAAAGTCAACCCTTCCTACATTCAAAGGAAGAGGTTTTCCTGACAGAAGCTATTTACATAATTGAGTTACTGGGTTTTTAATGGAGATCAAATTTTGAATCTTAAAAACCTGAAGAATATAGTGATACTTCAGTTGTCAAACTTAATTCATTCCAAATTTGTGTTTGAACACCACAGAGTTTTGAGAACTAAACATATTTTTCCCATAAGAAATAATAGAAAGCCAAATAATTGGTTCTGAGGCCCCCAAATTACACTTTTAAATTCATTTTTCTAGGACATTAACAAATTTCACAGTGAATGCTTTCTTTAACCCTATCTTGGTTCTCAGTTTTGCAAAAAAGCACAATGACGAACGTTTTAACGCACTAACACAAGCACGATGTTGTCTGGGCCAGAGCAGCACTTAGACTGAAGTCACCCCTTTGTGTCCAATGCGAGATGCAGTGCATGACTCACTCTCAGCCTGTACAGGTGTTACCTGTACAGGTTTTTTCAAGTCAGATTTTTAGTTCCATTATTGAGCAAAGTTATGAACACACAGTTTTCTAACTTTGCTCTTCAAGTAGTAGAAACTTCGAGCTTGGAGCCATTTGACAACTGAGGTATTAGTGTAAATGCTGTTGGAATATAGGATGATCCCGTGTTAACCACAGCAAAATTGATTTTTTTAAAAATAAAAAGTAGACATGATTTTTTCCTATTAGACTCCTTGTCCTAAAAATTAAACTCAACAACAGTTTAACTTCATGTTCTAGGTAAGTTGTGTTTCGACCATTAAATATCTGCTTTTGAATTTTACATAAGTAATTCTTCATGTTCTAGTCTAATATGAAAACAGTGTTGTTTTAAAATTTTATTTGGTGCATCTATTATGTTATATCATTTGTAATAAGATTTGTGTCTATGGTGTAATGGTTTTAATTCATAATGTCAAGCATAAGTTAAATGTCTGATTTATAAAGGTATTACTTCATTGCTAAATGAAAGCACTGTGGTCTTTTAAATAATTTATTCCATTATTCCAGTCTTTTTGTTATAAAATTCAATTTTCTTAGTTAATTTGAAGTTTATGTATTATGCAGAATTACATATTTTGTGTCAACCAAAGGATGGGAAATGATATATGTATAATTTTCACTTGTGAAGTTCTTACTTTCATGAAAAGTAATGATTTGCAGACAGCAAAGGAAAACAATTCATCATGAGAATCGATCGTATTCTCACAAGGAGCTGCCTAATTAATGCACATAAATGCACATATATATATATATATATATATATATGTATTTATCTTCTGAACAAGTAATGGAACAATTTATCCTAACTGCCTTTATTTTGTACCTAGGAAGTGTCAGGACAATCATGCCCGTGAGAACTCTAAACTATTCAGGTAATCATTTGATTTTTAATCTGTTCCCCAAATAGGCTTTCTTTTCCATATTTTTAAACTTTTATGATTGTATTGTTTAGATGCAGTCCTTTACCTTCCCCAAAGTTCTGTGATAGCCTTTTACCCTTCTGTCCTTCATCTAACTCTATTAGTCACTTTTTAAGCTATAAAATATTTCTATATTATATTAATGTTATATAAAATTTTATATTAATATATATGTGTTATAAATCAAGTGCCATATGTTGGTTTCTTTATACTATAATCATATTTTATATTAATGTAGATTTTATGTTATGTAATGTTATATCTAAGTGTGTCGTTTATATTAAGCTATAAAATATATCTCTTTATGGATGTGTAATACATGTTAGTATACAAGCCATAAAACTTGGTTAGGAATAGCTCTAAATCTTTTAATGAATCCTTTAAAAGTTTTATGATTTTACAAGTAACATTTATGAAGAGTTTTCCATCAAACACTTTTCTTTTTTGAAACTGTGGATTGAACCCAGAGCTTCATGCACTGCTAAGCACATGCTCTACCAGTGAGCCAGTACTCCCACACAAAATTCAAACATGGAAGAGATGTATGCTTATGGCATAATACTATTTGAAATTAGTATCTTTTAACTGTTGAAGATCTTCTAACTTTAAAAAAAAGGAATTAATGTAATAGCTACAAAATTTTCCTGGACTGAAAACCATCTTTAATTTATCCATCTTCAGGGTGATAATTTAGGGTTGGTTTGGGTTTCTTATCTGGTGACTGTTATGAGAATCTCTATGTTTTCTTTGCCTTCAGGTCATTTTATCTTAGTGAAATTGGCAGTTGAACTTTGCTGTAGTTGATGGGCAAAACTTCTCTTAGACTATTCATCATCCCAATTTCATCCCAGTTGAAAGCATTCAAATGCCATAAGAAATCGTGGATTTGCACTTAGCTTTTGGATGGACTTTTCAATGATGGAGAGAACTGTGTTATAACCTGGTCCAAGGACATTTCCATCTAATGCCCATTGACTGCAGTGTGGGTGTGCAAGGTTCCAAAGAGAAGGGACAATCAGCAGGTTTGCCGACACACTGGAGCATGGAAGCAACTGAGCTTTAAAAAGCACAGCTTTGGAGAAACTCCATGAGTCTGAGCGGCTTTCAGGCAAACTAGCACTTAAGACCTTGCATAACAAGATGGACACTGGGGACACGGCTCTAGGACAAAAAGCTACCTCAAGGTCTGGAGAAACTGATAAAGCATCAGGTAGATGGAGGCAGGAACAATCAGCTGCAGTTAAGATGAGCACTTTCGGCAGTCAGGAAGGACAGCGGCAACCACAGATAGATCCGGAGCAAATCGGAAACACAGCATCAGCACAACTGTTTGGGTCTGGAAAGTTGGCCTCACCTGGCGAAGTGGTGCAGCCAGTCTCAGAGAAGCAATATCCACTGCACCGTCCAAGTCCGTACTCATGCCAACATTCACTCTCTTTCCCTCAGCACTCAGTGCCACAGGGGGTCATGCACAGCAGCAAGCCACAGCAGAGCATAGAAGGCCCTCCCTGGCTCTTCCCTGGCCCTTTGCCATCGGTTGCCTCTGAGGACTTATTTCCTTTTCCTATACATGGCCACAGTGGTGGTTATCCTAGAAAAAAGATTTCAAGCCTGAACCCTGCTTATAGCCAATACTCCCAGAAAAGTATCGAACAGGCAGAAGATGCTCACAAGAAAGAGCACAAACCCAAAAAGCCCGGCAAGTACATTTGTCCTTACTGCAGCAGGGCATGTGCCAAACCAAGCGTTCTGAAAAAACACATCAGGTCCCATACTGGTGAGCGGCCATATCCATGTATACCTTGTGGTTTCTCTTTCAAGACAAAGAGCAATTTGTACAAGCACAGGAAGTCACATGCCCATGCAATTAAGGCAGGATTAGTACCTTTCACAGAGTCAGCTGTATCTAAATTGGACCTAGAGGCTGGTTTTATTGATGTAGAAGCAGAGATACATTCAGATGGTGAACAGAGTACAGATACAGATGAGGAGAGCTCTTTATTTGCTGAGACTTCTGACAAAATGAGCCCTGGCCCACCCATCCCATTGGATATTGCCAGTAGAGGTGGCTACCATGGTGGGTCCTTGGAAGAATCCTTAGGTGGCCCAATGAAGGTGCCAATTTTGATTATCCCCAAAAGTGGGCTTCCGTTGACCAACGAAAGCTCTCAGTATATTGGCTCTGATATGCTACCAAATCCGTCTTTAAGTACTAAGGCTGATGACTCTCACACAGTTAAACAGAAACTTGCACTAAGACTGTCAGAGAAAAAAGGACAAGACTCTGAGCCATCTCTCAATCTTCTGAGCCCGCACAGTAAAGGAAGCACTGATTCAGGTTATTTTTCTCGCTCAGAAAGTGCAGAGCAGCAAATAAGCCCTCCCAACACAAATGCAAAGTCTTATGAAGAAATCATCTTTGGAAAATACTGTCGACTCAGCCCGAGAAATGCGCTCAGTGTTACACCCACGGGTCAGGAGCGCGCCACCCTGGGGAGGAAAGGTATCATGGAACCATTACCTCACGTAAACACCAGGTTAGATGTCAAGATGTTCGATGATCCTGTCTCACAGCTGATCCCCGGCAAGGGAGAAGTGGACCCTAGTCAAACAAGTATGCTGAGGTCCAACAAATTCAACAGTGAGTTCAGGCAACCTCAGACTATTCCATCATCTGTCAGGAATGAAGGAAAACTTTATCCAGCAAATTTCCCATGCAGCAACCCAATTCTCTTAGAAGCTCCTGTAGACTCTTCGCCCCTTATTAGAAGCAACTCAATGCCAACTTCTTCAGCAACTAATTTAAGTATTCCCCCGTCTCTGAGAGGAAGCCACTCATTTGATGAAAGGATCACAGGGTCCGATGATGTGTTCTATCCGGGTACCGTAGGCATGCCCCCTCAACGAATGTTAAGAAGACAGGCGGCCTTTGAGCTGCCATCGGTCCAGGAGGGGCACATGGAGGCTGAGCACCCTGGCAGGATGTCCAAGAGTCTTGCCAGCTCATCCCTGAAGGAAAAGAAAGTGATTGCTGGGGACAGGATTGGGTACGACTATGATGTCTGCCGGAAACCCTATAAGAAGTGGGAAGACTCTGAAACACCGAAGCAAAGCTACAGGGACATTTCCTGTTTAGGTTCTTTAAAGCATGGAGGAGAATACTTTATGGATCCTGCAGTGCCATTGCAGGGAGTGCCAACTGTGTTTGGAACTACATGTGAAAACAGGAAACGCCGGAAAGAGAAAAGTGTAGGAGATGAGGAGGACACCCCCATGCTCTGCGGTGGTGTGGTCAGCACCCCCATGAGCATGATGACTGCAGATTATGACTCCAAATTGCAGATGCAAGAAGGAGTAAGGAGTGGATTTGCCATGGCCGGACTTGAGAATCCTCCTCATGGTCACCCTGAGCGTTTTGACCCAGGTCGACCCCAGCTGCAGTCCGGAAGTCTATCTCTAGGGTCAGAGGAGTCACCTTCTACCACTGATTCTGATAAGATGTCAGACTTGGCGGGTAGAAAACCTCCTGGCAATGTGATTTCTGTGATTCAGCACACAAACTCCCTGAGCCGACCCAATTCGTTTGAAAGGTCTGAGTCAGCTGAACTTGTGGCTGGTACACAGGATAAAGCTCCTTCGCCCTCTGAGACATGTGACAGTGAGATTTCCGAAGGCCCAGTGAGCCCAGAGTGGGCTCCCAGTATGGAAAACACAGAAAGTGGAGGGAAACCAACTTTGTCCTCTCAGGTACAACAGCACTCCTATCACACACAGCCTCGGCTGGTTCGACAGCACAACATTCAGGTTCCTGAGATTCGAGTTACCGAGGAGCCTGACAAACCAGAGAAAGAGAAAGAAGCCCAGAGCAAAGAACCAGAAAAGCCCGTGGAGGAATTTCAATGGCCCCAGAGAAGTGAGACCCTTTCTCAGCTCCCTGCCGAGAAGCTGCCGCCCAAAAAGAAGCGCTTGCGACTTGCGGATATGGAGCACTCTTCAGGGGAGTCGAGTTTTGAATCCACAGGCACAGGCCTCTCTCGCAGCCCCAGTCAAGAAAGCAACTTGTCCCACAGCTCTAGTTTCTCAATGTCTTTTGAAAGAGAAGAAACTTTTAAGCTTACTGCACCTCCTAAGCAGGATGAGTTTGGGAAGCATTCAGAGTTTCTGACTGTCCCTGCCGGTTCATATTCGCTGTCTGTTCCGGGCCATCACCACCAAAAAGAGATGAGACGATGTTCCTCTGAGCAGATGCCTTGTCCTCAGCCAACAGAAGTTCCAGAAATTCGGAGCAAATCATTTGATTATGGCAATTTGTCCCATGCTCCCATGGCAAGAGCATCAACCTCAACATTGTCACCGTCCCGGGAGAGGAAGAAATGCTTCCTGGTACGGCAAGCTTCCTTCAGTGGCTCCCCAGAAATTGCCCAGGGTGAGGCAGGTATGGACCCAAGTGTGAAGCAAGAGCAAATGGAGCAGCTCCACGCGGGCCTCAGGGCCACATGGCTCCACGGCCCATCCTCTGTGCTTCCGCCTCTTCTGGCAGATGACCCAGGGAAGCAAGGGCTGGGTCCTTGTGCCCCACTGAGTTCAGGACCCCTCCACTTGGCCCAGCAACAGATCATGCACATGGACAGTCAGGAGTCTTTGAGAAATCCTTTGATACAACCAACATCCTATTTGACAAGCAAGCACTTAGGTGAACAGCCACACTTATTTCCACCTCAAGAGACAATTCCATTTTCTCCCATCCAGAATGCTTTGTTTCAGTTTCAGTATCCTACTGTCTGTATGGTTCATTTACCAGCCCAGCAGCCTCCCTGGTGGCAGGCACATTTCTCCCATCCCTTTGCTCAACACCCTCAAAAGAGCTATGGCAAACCTTTCCAGGCAGAAATTCATTCTGGCTATCCTGTAGAGCATGTTGCAGAGCACGCTGGAAAGAAATCTCCTGATTATCCACATGCAAAAGAGCAGACTTACCAGTGTTATTCAGGAACATCAGGGCTACACTCAAAGAATCTTCCTCCAAAGTTCCCATTGGATCCAAGCTGCAAGTCGACGGAAACTCCCTCTGAGCAGATTCTTCAAGAAGATTTTGCCTCTGCAAACGCCGGGCCTTTGCAATCACTACCGGGAACAGTGGTTCCTGTTCGGATCCAAACGCACGTTCCGTCCTACGGAAGTGTCATGTACACAAGTATTTCTCAGATACTTGGGCAGAACAGCCCCGCCATTGTCATATGCAAAGTCGATGAGAATATGACCCAAAGAACACTGGTAACCAATGCAGCCATGCAAGGGATAGGATTTAACATTGCCCAGGTCCTCGGGCAGCATTCAGGCTTGGAAAAATACCCACTTTGGAAAGTACCTCAGACCTTACCTCTTGGCTTAGAATCCTCCATCCCCTTATGTTTACCTTCCACCTCAGACAGCGTTGCCTCCCTTGGAGGCAGCAAGCGGATGCTTTCTCCAGCCAGTAGCCTAGAGCTCTTCATGGAAACAAAGCAGCAGAAGCGGGTCAAAGAAGAGAAGATGTACGGGCAGATTGTTGAGGAGCTCAGTGCTGTGGAGCTTACCAACTCAGACATTAAGAAAGACCTCCCCCGCCCCCAGAAACCCCAGCTGGTTCGGCAAGGCTGTGCTTCTGAGCCAAAGGATGGCTTGCAGTCAAGGTCATCTTCTTTCTCCTCTCTGTCACCCTCTTCATCTCAAGACCACTCCTCTGTCAGTGGGCCAAGAGAGCCATTTTCACCCAGCAGGGAGATGCTTTCTGGCTCCAGGGTGCCCCCTCCAGGGCAGAAGTCCAGTGGGCCTTCTGAAAGCAAAGAGTCCTCAGATGAATTAGATATGGATGAGACAGCATCAGACATGAGCATGAGTCCTCAGAGTTCTTCACTGCCTTCAGGAGACAGTCAGCAGGAAGAGGATGGGAAGGGCCGGAAGCTGCCTGTTGGCATGCTGGTCCACATGGCCTCCAGCCCCAGCAGGAACATGGCGAACTCTACTCTTCTTTTCACGGACATGGCAGATTTCCAGCAGATTCTTCAGTTCCCCAGTCTGCGGACAACAACTACTGTGAGTTGGTGCTTCTTAAATTATACAAAACCCAATTTTGTGCAGCAGGCCACCTTCAAATCCTCGGTTTATGCTTCATGGTGCATTAGTTCCTGCAATCCAAACCCATCAGGATTGAACACCAAGACCACATTGGCACTTCTGAGGTCCAAGCAAAAAATCACCGCAGAAATTTATACTCTGGCTGCCATGCATAGGCCTGGAACCGGCAAACTCACATCGTCCAGTGCTTGGAAGCAGTTCACACAGGTAACAGATACTGCTTTAGAAAGTACTGTGTGTTGTGGATGTGATTGCTGAGCATACTGCATAGTGAAGGATATAAGTTCTGAAATATGCTAGGAAAATGAAGGTTAGAATTGGGGAGTCCTCAGCAACACTGGTCTTACCCAGGGTTGGGGAAGCCACTGATTGTACTTAGTTCTGAGGGTCCTAGGGAAAGTCCCCCCAAATTAGAGTATCTCCATCTAGGTGCTTTGAAGTTCTCCCACTGGGACTAATTCAAGCATGTGGGTTTCTCTCCCTTCTGACCTCTGTTAGTAACCTGGCAGTTCCACTTTTCTTTTGATCTGAAAAATTCAGGAGATTGTGAAATAAGACTGTAAGAAAACAGGGAGTGGATGCTGAAAAGGAAGATCAGAAAGGAGGCATGAAGGGTGTCAGAACTGATGTTGGTAGATATTGGAGGGCTGGTCCTCAGTGACAGTACTTTTCCCTAAAATTTGTTTTCTATGTGTCTCTTCCAAAACTTACTTTTCCAGGTTACTGGCTTGTTTGTCCCTACATGAACAATTAGTGCCTTACATGTAAGATTATAAAAATATTAATAAAGGGCATTTTATAATTTATACTAAATTAATAATAGAGCAAATAGAAGATTTTTAAGATACGCTTTTACTTATGTGTTAATATTTTCCTTCAATGACTGTTGAGACTATGTTTTTAATGTAGATTGTCCTAAGTGCTACTTCAAAACAAGTCTTTATTAGTGTTGTACAAACTAAATGCTCACTGATACATATAAACAAATGTTGATTCTGTGGAAGCTTCATTCTTCCCTAATTTTGTCCCTGCTGTTCCTTATTTTATGTAACTAGCCCATGGTCTTGTAGTGTGGAATTGAGGCTAATTTTCAGAGATGGATGGAAGAGTGGGTTGCTTTTTCCTAGAGAAAGCAGGCAAAATAATTCTCTTCTTTTGTCCTACAGGTGAAACCGGATGGGTCCTTTTTATTTGGCAGCAAACTAGAAAGGAAACTAGTGGGAAATATCTTAAAGGAAAGAGGGAAAGGAGAGATTCATGGAGATAAAGATATTGGATCCAAACAAAATGAGCCAATCCGAATTAAAATCTTTGAAGGAGGGTAAGAAAACATAACTACAAATGTAAAATGTTCAGTTTATAAGTCAAAGTAAATGGTCATGGACGTCTGTATGGGAAAAATAGTGTGGTTAGAATGGGAACTTTAAGGAAATTTCTTTTCTATCACACTCGTGAAGTCTGGCTGGGTAATACATAATGAGTTCATGTCTTCCCTTTCGGGACTTGATTTTAATGAAAATAGCACTGGTGTGTGTGGCCCAGGCCTCTGCCTTAAGTTTCCACACCTTTCATTTCATATGAAATTGACTAAATTAGCTGGCTTTTGATGTCAATTAAGTTTGTTCATTCTTTGGTATATTTTATGGACATCTGTGTTATTAGTGGACATATTTTTATCCTGGGCTTACAAAAATGAAATCATGAAAACTCATGTGTGATCCTAGGAACTAGTTAATTTGTTTTCTTTTTTCTGTTGAACTGCGCACTTTCATATTTCCTCATTCCATCAACATCCTCATTCTGTTCCAGGATCCAAGTCAGTGTACCATAGTGAGTTTAGTTGTCATGTCTCCTCTGGTCTATGAAAGTTTCGCTGTATATAAGAATGTATTTATTTATTTATTTTGGTACCAGGGATCAACTTGGGACCTTGCACTTGCAAGGCGAGTGGCGGAACCACTGAGCTAAATCCCTGGCTATAAGAATTTATTTTTAAATGTGAAGTTCTGAGCCATTGAAAAGCGAGTAATAAGTTCAATTATTTTGTTATCTGTACCAGTAAGAAAAATTACACATATGTGTAATGTCTGGTTTTAGGGTTTCATAGAACTATCTGTTCAACCCAGTCCCATGGAAGGAAAGCCCAGACCTATCTGTACTTGTTTACTTCTCTTTTTGTGGTACTGGGGTTTGAACCCGGGACCTTTCCATTGAGCTACATCCTATCCTCCCACCTTTTTTTTTGAGACAGGATCTCACCAAGTTCCATAGATTGGGCTCAAAATTGCAATCCTCCTTCAGCCTCCCAGAATATTAGGATTACAGTTGTGCAACAGCAGACATAATCCAGCCTTAAATCTTCAATTAAAAAAGAGGATAGCGCATCAACCATGTTTTTGAGATTTACATGAGCATGAGTTTATTCTAATTATATTTGAAGGACAATATGATGCTATTTGTTTGACCAGAAAATGTCGAGTATTTAGAGAGATAAAATACTGTACCAATTTCTCCTGTAGTTTTACCAGTTTGGAGAGGATTATTTGGATGTCTTGTGCTTTCACCCCTAAAACCACAGTTGAATGAAATCATAAAGCTTGTCTCAGTATTTTTAGACATCCCTCATCTTCTAACACAAACCAGAGAAATACAGATTTTATCTTTCCTCAGAAACTGAGCGGTCCCTGTGACTGAATCAACACTCTTACATTCATCAGCCTCTTCATAGCAGTGCACTTGGGCCTGTAGATTAGCGAGCCCTTCACGGTTACTGTATGCTTTGGGGACCCCATCTCCACTAACGAAGGACAGAGGTGAAAAGCGTATGTGAACATTTTATTGCTGTGTTTTGATGATCCAAAAAGATTATACCAGTATTTCATTTCCTCCTCCTTTCCTGGCCCCATGTTATGGGCTATGTCCCAGTCACTTATTGTGTGAACCAGTTTCTAGCTGGTGGTGACCGGGCATTCATTCCAAATGCATGTTACCACCTCGTATTTTGTAGGTTGCAAAATGGTAAATTCTGATGAAATTTTAAGTGCATATGTTCCTTATGTTAGCTAATTGATAGGTTTAATAATTTAGTTAGACATGTTTTCTCATTATGTTTTTCAAAACGCATCAAATATTCTATCAAGTAGATTCTTGGGCCTACAGAATTTATAATATGGTAAAGATTTTATTTGTACAGATTTTTCTAATATAGAGTATTGGTTATACAGAATTTTATTGTATTTCATTCTAAAAGCAAGTTAATCAGCTAAGATATTGAAAAGAAATTACATTATTTGAATATAAACTGTGTTTCTCATCATCTAGTAAGCTTGAAGCATCATTTTCTAAAGAAAATTAGAGTTGAGCAAAACTGTTTCACTGTATATTCCTTAAGCAGTTTCTTCTGGTTAGGGCCAGAGAGTAGTGAAACTGAAAAGTGAAAGGGACTTCACATCTCTAGGTTTGTTCTGCTTTATTACAAATGCCAATATGAAATAAACTTTAAACTAATTATGGAGAATAAGTTGATGTGGAAATTTCTTGTAAAAGGGGAAAAATACAAAGGATCAAAAGACATGCACAAATGATTATTTGTATTTTTCACTCTTACTAACTCTTACCTTGATTGGTACTGACCAAAAAGTAGAAAATACTAAGATTAAATAATATCCTGAACAAAGTTAGTACTTAAATATATGTGGATGAAGTGTCACTCTTAAAAATCTTTCAACAGATTAGACAATTAAAGTTGAATGTGTTTTTATTAGCTAGGACAAAATAGGGACATTTGCAGTCCTAATAGATTGTAAAAAGCTATAAATATAATTCTTTTACACAAATCCACGTGAATAAAGCATTCTGCATGTCAGGAAATAAAGACCTTGTGAAAAGAAAATCTTGCCATAATGATTTTAGATCCATAATTCTAGCCTAGGTAGGATTTAAGAGCTAATGATATTCACTGAATTATTTAGTAGAATCCTACTATATTCTGTGATACATCATATGTCATTGTATCCTAAACAAAATAAGATGGTAGAGCATTGGGTAGGTTCCTTTCCTTGATTATCAAAGGAAATATCTGAGACTTTGTTCATCTATCCATTCGATTAAACTGCATGACCTCAGATACCCTTTCAAACCTCTCTATGAAATCCTTCTGGAAATGAATGCAAATTTCATCAAAAATAGTATCTCTAGTTTTCATTATGCAGCAGTACCTTCAAGAAATGGTTGAAATTTAGACTCCACATTAGCACAAATCCATGGTCTCTGGGAAGAGCAGATCAAATCTGCAGACAACAGCTGGTGAGCCGGGCTCAGTCTGTGTAAAGTAGAAATTTCTGAGGCGCTCTCATGCCAGGATTGTAAAAATAAAGAAGCCTGCAATGAAGAATTCTATTATCAGTTATACTTATTTTAGCAAATGTAGAGAGGTGTGTGCACATGCACATTTTAAAGAAGAAATGCATGATAATTCTAGTATATTGGTATGCTTTTTGTCTGTCCCTTGAGTAGAAGCAATACTAGAATCCCAAAGTAGTGAGGCACAGGTTGCCGCTCTTTGTGGCTTACATAAGCCTGTTAGAACATCTTTACCCTAAGTCTATAAATCTATACTGAATAGCAGAGCCAACTGGATTTTGAGTTGCATGTAGAATTACTTTTGGCTTAGAGTGCAAATCATTATTGAGTTCTTGTGCAGGCATTTATTGCATAAATTTCTCAAGCTTCATTGAAATAAAGTTGAATAATTGTTTGCAAAAGACCCTCATAAAAACTTGCCCCTCAAATGATTAGATTTTGGGTTGATATATAACATGCTAAGAGTATTTGAAAACACAATGAATGGATTCTCCCTTTTGTAAACAGGTATAAATCAAATGAGGATTATGTATATGTCAGAGGACGTGGACGTGGAAAATATATTTGTGAAGAATGTGGGATTCGCTGTAAGAAGCCAAGCATGCTCAAAAAACACATTCGCACTCACACTGATGTTCGACCTTACGTATGCAAGTTGTGTAACTTTGCCTTCAAAACGAAAGGTACGAGTCTGATTTTTTTTTTTGAGGGGAAAACTACTTTTCTTATGACTGTTGAGCGTTCTGAATACTATTTTGTAACATCAACAATCAGGTGGTTTTGTTTGTGAAAATATGACTGTATGAAGTGTACTTTCTCCCTTGTGTCCGTGATCAAAGGGTGAACAGAGACTGTGAGGCTCCTTTTATGACTAATTAAGAGCTATAGACTCAGGGCCAGGCCAGTTGTCTCCAAAGGAAGTGGCTAAGAATTGCCTGGCTAGCTATTACTTCATGTTGGAAATCTTATGCTGTCTGGATAGTAGTTGTACCAGTGCTGAAATTCTGCAGGGACACAATACATGCAGTGGCAATAGAAAAGCAAAACAGCAACTTGGAAGGAAACATGTGCCCACGGTCAGTTTCAAGATTATAAATAATGTAGAGATCCACAGACTCCCAGGTGGGGCCCTCCATCCACAGTTGCATTAATTATGCATAGAAACTTGATAGCTTCTGTTCTATGTATGTATCAGCATACAGACAATTTCTTACTCTAGGCCACAACTGTTAATCTCATAGAACTAGGATTTTTGCCTTGAAATGGTAGTCCATCATTAGAAAAAAATCCTGTTTTTAGCAGGTAGATTTATATAAAAATAATTTACTAGAGAAAGTTGCTTCAGTTATGTCTATCATTGTATAAAATCATGAAAATGTTCATAAATCCAGTGTTCTCAAAATACAGACAATCATAAATTAGAGATTGACTTTTGTATACAGAGATATATTTTACATTAGAGCTAATGGATGCTATAGACACCCTTTCAACAACTTCCCATCATTTCCAATGTCTTAACTTTAAATTTGCACATCAAGTAATCTGCTCCAATACACACATTTGTTTCCTATAAAATATTATTTGGTCTAGAAATGCATGCCTATTTTCTCTTGTAGCCCCAAATTCTAGATTGTATTGGTTTGACAGAGTGTAGATGTGTAGCCTTTCCACATATCTGTTTCTTTTGTATTAAAAAAAGTACTTACATAACAGATGTGCCTTGTTTGGAGCCAAAAAAGGGGAGAGGGAATATTCATTTGCACTTCAAAAGAAAAAACCCATAAGGTCCTTTAAATACCATCCACCTTTGTGTCATGAAGCCTTTTATATAGAACTTTCCTGAGAGATTCTCAAGAGATAAGAAAATAAAGACTTTGATTTTAGTACACAGTGCGAGCTCACTGGTCATTACAAAGGACATCTTCGCATGTGAATTTGCTGCCAGAATACTGTATGAAAACCAGATGAGGCGATGAGACGTTTCCAGATATGAAAAGCAAAACTAAACTAAATCTGGCTTTGAACCATTATCCTGGAGTTCTAGCAGGAACAATTTAGGCTTAGTCATTAATGGAGTTTCTTTGTCACTCTTTAGAGAGGGCACAAATATCTGGGAATCTTGGAATGAGCAAAACATGCTGGGAAACTCCACTGCTTCTTACCTCTAGCTTAAAAATCTGTTTTCCAAGCCCACATCATGTCCAAACACAGATGTGTGCCCTTGCAGACCGATGCCTTCTTGCTTGTCTTTTCTTTTTTTCTTTTGGTCCCAGGGACCAAACTTGGGACCTTGCCCTTGGGCGGCAGGCGCCAGAACCGCTGAGCTAAATCCCCGGCCCCCTTCTTGCTTGTGGTGCTTGTGCCACTCCCTGTTGTTCTCTTCCTTTCTCCCTGTCCTCATCAGCTACTTCAGAAGCTCATGATGTCAGCTCAGTAAAGCCAGGGTTTGCCTACCTTGAACAAAACTGCTTCCTTGGAATGGATGGAGATAAAAATACAGGAAAAGAATACTAATACATACTCAAATCTAAATGTAGTCATCCTTTGGCATCTGTTGCTTCTAGGATACCCCTAGACACCAAAATCCAAGCATGCTCAAGTCCCTTATATAAAATTTGCTGCATTTGACTAAAGTTTAGGTAGGTACATCCTCTTGTGTACTTTTTAATCATGTCTAGATTAATTATAACACCTAGTACAATTTAGATGCTTTGTAAATTGTTGCTCTGTTTTATTGTTTAGAGAATAATGCCAAGAAAAAAATCTCTCTACATTCAGTATAGACATGATTTTGTCATTTAAATATTTTTGATGTTCAGGTGGTGAATCCTGCAGCTGTGGAACCCATGGAGACAGAGACTGACTATAAATTCTCTTCCCATACTTAGCATTCACACCTGTAAACATATGTGGTGTAATTGCACCCTGCCAGATTAGATGATTTCCATTAATTTATAGATTTAAGAATTGTATATCTATAACATTTTTGAATTCCTTAAAAATTAATAGGTATAATTTTTGATAAATAAGAGCAATGAGGACCTGAAAATACTTCTATGTTTAGAGTTATCACAGTAGCTTATAAAATTCACAAGTACATAAGCAGTAAGTAAATGAGTAATGTAAGTGAAATAATAAACAACAGTATGTATATGAATGACTTACCAGAAGATACCCAGGGACCAATGCAGTTGGAAGGAGCTATAAAGAGTCTTTACAGCCACTTTGGTGAAAATGGCTGCATTATTATCTTATTATCTGTGACCTTTTTTAGTGCTGTAGCAATGTATCAGCAAATGCTTTATTTTATTTTATTTTATTTTTATTTTTTTGGCACTGGGGATCGAACTCGGGACCTTGCACTTTCGAGGCAGGTGCTGGAACCACTGAGCTAAATCCCCAGCCCAAATGCTTTATTTTTAAGAGCAGGATTCCTGAGATCTAAATGGAAACTCAACTGGCTGAGATAGTTTGTCCCCTCTGTAAGGATATTTAGTGTACTAGTGATATAAGAAACCACAATTCTAGGCTGGGATACTGGGTCAACGGTGATTGGCTCAATGCTTTCAAAATTTCTCATATTCCATATAGTAATTAAATAAATCTGGAGATATAGATATGTATGTATACACATATACGTATGTAGATACATATACAATTGTATACATCGTTATTATTATAACATATTTGACATGAAAACTTTCCTTTTTCTTAGAATGATAAAAGTCTCAAGATTGGCCGGGGATTTAGCTCAGTGGTTTCACCGCCTGCTGCGCAAGTGCAAGAACCTGAGTTCGATCCCCGGTACCAAAAAAAAAAAAAAAGTCTCAAGATAAATGGGAGTATTGTTGCTCCAGAATTTTAGAAATTACAGTCAGAAAGTTTGCTAAGATAGATCAGACACATAGATGCTGAATAATGGAAATAGTACTCCCTAACAGCTAAATATTTTTATGGATCTTTGAATTCAGTGGCAAAGTTGACTCTCATATTGGTTTGTATATTTTTTTCTTCTGACCAATGAGGATCCTTAGAGTTTACGTCTGATCAGTACCAAGGCCTGGGCTCCATTGGGTGTGTTGAGAATGTTTCATTCTGAAATTTCTCCCAGTTGTGTGAGAGCCAGCTTGCGTTGCCTTGTCTGTGTGAAGTTCTGAGAGGCTGACCCTTTTGATAAATATTACATCCCTTCTTGGGCAGAAATGCTGGAGTCTCCAGTTTTAAGACTCTTGCAAAGATGTGGCTGTAGAATTCCACACATCTTTGACATACAGAATACCTGAGATTGGGCTGGGTATTTAGCTCAGTGGTTCTGCCGCCTGCCTCGCAAGCTCAAGGTCTGGAGTTTGATCCCTGGTACCAAAAAAACCCCCCCAAAATAGAATACCCGAGATTGGGCCAAAGCTCTCAGGGACTGATATCTCCAGAAATCAGATCATCCTTCAGACTGAAGCAAAAGCTCATAGATGAAGCATACCTGTGTTACCCAGATTAGTTCATTTCACGTTGTACTTTGGAACATCTGTTACATTTTGATAACCACCTCCCCCTGGCGGTGTTTTCTAGGAAACTTAACGAAACATATGAAATCTAAAGCACACATGAAAAAATGCCTGGAGTTGGGAGTCTCAATGACATCAGTGGATGACACAGAAACCGAGGAAGCAGGTAAATTGTAACTTACTTCTTCACTGTGCTTACGGGAGCTTTGTGGCCAGGTGGTAGAATAAGTTTGGATAGTTTTAGAGAACCGATTACATTTCAATGTATTATATTTATATGGATTATTATATTATTTATTATTATTATATTACTATAATAATATAGAAAACAAATCAGATCCGTTGAATTGCCTGAGAAATAAAAGCATTTCAGTTGTGACTCTGGGGAAAAAGGACTTAAACTTCTACCAAGAACATGAAGGATATATAGTTGCACTTGATTTTATGATAGTAATTTAAATGTTATGAAAATGGTGAGGAATTTGAAAAGCATTTTCAGGTGTTATTATTCCAGTTAAGAGGAAATACAGTAGAAAAGCATATGTCTGAACCTGGAGGTACAGGTGGTTGTTTTTCTTTTCCCTTGGTAGCCGTGGCATCAGCATTGTCCACACTCATTCATAAAGGGTTTTCTCTGAGTGGTGTGGTATCTCGAGATAGAAAGTCTTACCAGGGAGTCCCTATTGTAGGCTGAGGATGAAACCAAGTAGACACACAAGGAGATCAGAACCAATGCAAGGTTGAGTAGGCGTGCGAGTAGTAGGAATTGAGAGGCAAACTATTTTCAGGGCCCAGAGGGTTAAGAAAAGCTTTTGAGAAGCAACAGAGCCTCAGTAAGCTCCTAACCCTGACTTTTGTATGTTGATCTCTGGAATCTGTGTTTGATCATTTCAGAAAATATGGAAGATTTGCACAAGACGGCTGAAAAGCATAGCATGTCCAGCATTTCAACTGATCACCAGTTCTCAGATGCTGAGGAATCAGATGGTGAGGATGGAGATGATAATGATGATGATGATGAAGATGACGATGACTTTGATGACCAGGGAGATATGACTCCAAAAACAAGATCAAGAAGCACCAGTCCTCAGCCTCCTAGATTCTCCTCCTTGCCTGTGAATGTTGGCACTGTGCCCCATGGAGTTCCCTCAGACAGCTCCCTGGGACATTCTTCCTTGATCAGCTACTTGGTTACTTTGCCAAGCATTCAGGTCACTCAGCTCATGACATCCAGTGACTCGTGTGAAGATACCCAGATGACAGAATATCAGAGGCTTTTCCAGAGCAAAAGTACAGACTCGGAACCAGACAAAGACAGGTTAGACATACCGAGTGGCATGGATGAGGAGGGGATGCTATCTTCAGAGCCAAGCTCTTCCCCGAGGGACTTCTCCCCCTCAAGCCACCATTCCTCACCAGGATATGATTCATCACCCTGTCGAGATAATTCACCAAAGAGGTATCTGATACCCAAAAGAGATTTGTCACCCAGAGGACATTTATCACCTAGGAGAGAGCTGTCACCCATGAGACATCTGTCACCAAGAAAGGAAGCTGCACTGAGGAGAGAGATGTCCCAAAGAGATATTTCTCCAAGAAGGCACTTGTCCCCAAGGAGGCCGTTGTCTCCTGGGAAGGACATCACTGCGAGAAGAGACCTGTCTCCTAGAAGAGAGAGAAGATACATGACCACCCTAAGAGCGCCATCTCCCAGAAGGGCTTTATGTCCCAACCCGCCATTATCCATGGGGCAGTATTTGCAAGCAGAGCCAATTGTACTGGGGGCTCCTGTGAGTATAACTTCTTTCTCTTTCTGATATGTCAGTTGAGGCACATTGGAGCCTGCCAGTGACATGCTGGCGGCATTCATTATAACGTGGGTATCTCTCACAGGGAGGTGCTGCTGTCAGTGTGGCTGTGGCATTGCTCCAGTCGTGTTATTGCACCAGGGCAGGAGTGCATACCCATTTGTACCGGGTGAGGCTTCTGAAGTCTCTCAAAGCTGAACGAATTATAGACATGAGCTGAGACGTTTATGTGAACCAAAAAAGGTGAAGTCTGTGGAATGGCAGGACTGCATGGACACTGTTCCGTACTTTTTTTTAATGCACTCACGGCTTTGCCCAGAGTGAATGGACATGTGAAATTGTTCAGGGCCCAGCGAGCAGAGAGTAGCACACTCAATCTGTTTAGAAATCAGAGTCTTGCTTTTTCTGTGGTCACCATGACTGAGCGCACTTGCTGAGGGAGGGCGCGGTCCCCAGAGACTGGGAGGTCAGGAAAGCAGAGGGAGAGCGTGCAGAGGTTCCCGCGCCTGCCTGCCTTCATCATTCCCCATTCCCGGAGATAACAGCGGTAGCCCACGTGGTTTACATTTAAGCGGGAAAATTTTAGCACGAATCCGTAGAAAAAGCCCCGCTTCGGCCGCACTCCATGGCACAGCATTGGCATAGCTTCCCTTTTTTTTTTTTTTTTTTTTTTTGGTACCGGGTCCTTGAGTTTATGAGGCAGGCAGTGCAACTACTGAGCTAAATCCCCGGCCCTGGCATAGCATTCTAAAGAGCGAATGAGGGGGCACTTAGCACAGACAGAGGCAAGGTGCCTTTGGAATGTGCGTTAAATGTGCTTTCAGGGTTGGTCGCTGCTCCTTGCTGTGCCATCTTCGCTCTGGCTCTGGGTCCTGGGTACAAGCACTGTCCTTCCCTAGCAGTGGATGCATAGCCAGCTCCTCGCTCCCGTCTTTTCCCTGCCACTGGTCCGATCCCTCTCATCACTTTCTCCTGCCCGAGTCCTAAGCTCCTGTGGTCACTTTGAAATTTCAGGAAAGCTTCCTGCATTCCGATTCCTTCCCCAACACCCTCTTTTCATAAGCCTGGTACCAACTTCCCCTTGATCTTAGGAATCCTGCAAAGACATGCGCTGCAATTCACATGTAAATTATTTGCCAAGCTAGTGAATAAGCAAGCTAACAAAGGACATGCGTTTTTGCAGGTTTTTGCGTAGTAGAAAAGAGGGATCTCCTGCGGTGAATACTGCTGCAGCACGGATAGAGAGCCAGGAATCCCTCGCATTTCGCGTTTCGGGAGGGCAGGTCAGGTGCTTCCTCTGATGGACACAACCATGCAGAAGAGTGTGTTAGAGCAGCCTCAGCCTGCCATCAATGCTGTCCTGGGCCAGCGCTGGCCAGGTGGATCGCCCATGGCCTGTGTGCGAGGGTGAAGCGTATTCAGCCAACTGCAATCAAAGAAAGCAAGTCCTCAGTGGAAAGATGTTGTTAGAAAAAACTAGCAATCTACAGTCAACTTGGGCAAGGGAGTTAAAGGCATAGACGAAAGGGATGTATCTAATTATTGGATATGTGATTAGAAAGTTGGTGGAAAAAAGTGGTTTTATTAGTTGCTGAGTTTGCAGTAGTTTTTAGGATTTCTTTGTTTCATGGTATTTTTTAAAATGCCACTTCATCGGTACAGTGTGGTATAAAATACCAGCTCACCTATAGAGAGTGATATAAAATGCCACCTCCCCTGTTGAATAGCTCGCGTTGTTAAACTTTACCACTGACAAAGCCTTTGGACTACAACCCCATTTAATTCTCTTTTAAATATTAATTTATTAGTACATTTTAGATATACCTAATGATCACATTCATCATAGGGAATTTGTACCTGTACATGATAAATCTTGATTTTTCTTTTTTCCAATTCCTTCCCCTCCCTTCAGCCCCTCTTCCCCTCATTTACAAAAGCGTTGTTTTCATCTTTTTCCTTCTATGCTTTTTTTTCTTTTCCCTTCCCTCCTTTCCCTCTTCCCCCTCCCATGTTCCCTTTCTCATTTGACCATTTTCTTCCTGTTTCCCAATATCTTTTATACATTATCGTCCTTATTTACCCTTTCAGTTTCCCACACCAGAGAAACAATGTGATATTTAAACATGTGTATCCAATTTATTTCACTCAAGAATATTCAAGGTACATCCATTCACCTCGAAATGTCTCAAGTTTATCCTTCTTTATAGCATATCCTTCTTTATACTCCACTGTATACAGAAATTGTAGCTTGCTGCTGTTTTCATTATGAGGAAACAGACCTGGAAATCTTCCATCAAATAAGGACAGCAATCCGAAGTACTTTCCGTTTTATGCTTTCTTAGACCCTTCTGAGGGCTCATGGAGCCCACTGTGACATACTATTCCTCTGGCTTAGTCTGGACTCACAGCCACAGCGAGCAGGTTTAGAGAAGTCCCCAGGCCCCTCCCACACTGCCATTTCTGCCCTAAAATCCCCTGGTTAGTTTAATTGTAAGGCAGATAAGTAGAATTAAAAGGGAAGATTCTTTTCTTCATTCAGAGAATATTTTTGAGGATCTACACATAGCTCAAGGGTGAAGATGAAATAATGTTATGATTTCTGGTTTCTAGCCTTAGTTTTATTTTTAAAACCAGTATGCCTGTATTTTGTTTGCCATCTTCAAAGTTGTGGAAGATAAGTAGCAAAAAGAGAAAGAAAGAGAGACAAGTCTTTTATCAGTGTGTAGAGTAAACACTGTACCCAGCAAGACCCTCGCTGTTCAGTCTCTCTCTCACCATGTCTGTGATCTTGGGAGAGTCGCCTCCCTTCTGGGCACCATCTGTAGGTCTGTCTGGGGCAGCTGCAGGGCTGGGTTGCCCAGACTTCTGTCCTTGGAAGAACGTGGCTCTTAGCTGTAAGGAATGCAGTGGGCTGACAGCCTCCTGCTCTTCGCACCTTCAGTACAGGACCTCTTTGAAACCAAGGCCACTTCGTCCTTCAGTCCCAAGCCAGTATTGGACCACAGACCAGTCGCTACCTTTCCCTCTCTGCCTTTGCAGACAGGACTTTCTGCTCCCCCAGGAAGCACTTGCCCCCCTACCTCCTTCTCAGGCTTCCAGAGGACCTTATAGCCACCTTATGGAGTGGGGAAATATATCTGGTACATGGGATCCTTCTCTGTATGAAGATGTATGCAGTATGTGCATATAGTATATGTGCTTATATACACATATGCATATAGGCTTAGCATAACCTACAGTTGAATTCAGCATTCATTTTTCCATAGCAAGGCTTTTCTTGCTAAGATTTAAGTAAGATTAGAGTTTTTCCACCACAGTATGATAAGATTCAAATTATAAAGCAATAGGATTGGCTAGTGGAATAAAAACAAAAGTAGAAAAAACTTATTTTGCGTCCATTCTGGAGGGTAAGACGGGAGGAAGCAGGATGTCTGGGCATGACTGATAGCCTGAGGAGTGGCAGAAGTAGCTACCAGGTGGAAATTCTACTTCTACACTTCTCTGGTGGCCATCATTTCACTTCTGGTCGGTGAAGATCTGAATTTGAAAACTTTGTTAACTAGATTTTACTGTATTTACAACATACTGTATTAAATGTGTTTGAGTTTTAGAGAAAATTTCTTCACTCTTTTCGTCAGCCTGGCGTCAGGGATCTTAAGTCACTACCTCATGCCTTCTGCTAACCCTTTCCTGTGGTCCCCCCATAGACCCACTTTCTGATGGGGTGTTTGCCATGGATATCATAAAATTGCAGCCAAAAGTAGAATGGAAAAATAACCAAGCCACCTTTTATTTTCAATTTTAAATCTGTGATTACTGTGATTAAAGGAAATTTTACTTCATTAGCCTCAAAGATTATTATTGTAGGTGTTAGAGTTCTTCCACCTTAACTGGTGTTTGATGAAGGAAACATACAACAGAGGTTGTGTGTGTGTGCAGCGTTTTTCTTAAAAAATGATTCTTGCGCTATAAAATTCCCACCTTTTCTATCTTCTGAGGTCCCGGTGATTACAGGGTTGGTGATTATACTGTTTCACCTGCACTTCTAGAATAAATCATTTGTTTCTAGCTTGAGTAAGATGTAGCCCAGAGCAGGGTAAATGCCAAGTATGTCACAGAGAAGCAGCGATAATGCATAATTTATAGCTTCTGAGCCTGTCTCGCAATCTGAATAGAGCTGGATGTGACCTTATGATACAGAGCATACCTTAAGTTTTAGAACTGAAGCATTTTTGAAATGAATTAGAACATTTTCTTTCCTTTCCCCTGGATCACTGCTATACTTCACTGGTTTGTATCTGTCTTACATTCTTAAAATAAGAAAACCATGCTGTCCCTTTAAAGTGACAGTCCATTAATAGAATGAATCACGGTAACTAAAATCCAATAATCTCCTTAAAACCTGATAGTTGGACAATCTGAGTTGTCTTTTGCTGCAGAAACAAATATAGAAAATCATTTGTTCATTTTCAGGGTGGAGATCATGAAATCTGGAACCTGGCTCCAGTTTAAAGTATCTTTAATTCATTAATTCCCAAGAAAATATTTAAATGAAAATAATAATGTCATCTGAAGAATTGGGGTACAGTTATCTTTGGTTATGTAGTTGAATATAAATTGTTAGCTGTTCAAAATATTTAATGCCAACAACTACTCGGATAGTTTCCTTTCAAAATCTATCACTGAATGGCCTCGATTTGTGATTTGATAAAGAAGTTGGTCTTCAGCATTAAATATCACTTTCTTGAGCAGGAACCTACTCCTTTAGACCATACTGAGATCCAGTCTGTGGGTCCCACCACTATCTTGCCATCCTTTCTGTGGAATACTTTTTTGTCAAATTTTTCAGGGTTTTTAACTCCAACTGTACCCATCAACCATTTAGAAAAATCTTTAAGGTATAATAGATAATGTGAAATAGGAAGAAAAGTGGCAAAGGGGAAGGGGAAGTGGGAGGGGTGGGGGAAAGGAAAGAAGGGAATGGAATTAATATGAGAAAATGAAAAAATGGAAACGAAGTCTTTGTAAATAGGAAAGGGTGGAGGGGTTGAAGGGAGGGCGGGGGAATGGGGAAAAATAAGAACTAAGATACATCCTGTAAAGGTGTAGATTTCCAATAATGAATGTCATTATATTGTATACCTAAAATGTACCAATAAAATTAATTAAAAAAAAGAAAAATCCTTAAAATCAGCACAGTGTATAAATAGATGATAATCTTTTTATTTCTTTTTAAAATTTAAAACTATCATGAGTGTTTATTAGTTAGTGGGTTCTTTTTTTTTTCTTGGTAAACCCTTTCTGGTGATTATTCATTATTTCTTTTCACTATCTCTTATGAGGAAAACAACTGAAACATATTTCTATACTACATGGAAAATACACTAAATGCTTTATCACCTTGTTGCTTAAAAATCAAAGTAACTTTTCCTAGACCATCACCTTCATTCAAGGATTGGAGGCGCCAACTGAGGAATTGTGTTTGTTTTGAAAAGGAAAAGTGGATGAAGGATTCAGTAGTGAATCCTGCCTAGGTTGAGTTGAGTGAGTGGGTATGTGAAGTAGCTTCACCTAGGAGTGGACAGTGGTAGGTTCTGAACTGTGTGCTCTTTGTTTTCCTTTGCAGAATTTAAGAAGAGGATTACCTCAGGTTCCTTATTTCAGTCTCTATGGAGACCAAGAAGGTGCTTATGGACATCAAGGCTCCAGCCTTTTCCCTGAGGGTCCTAACGACCACGTCTTCAGTCATCTTCCACTCCACTCTCAGCAACAAGTGCGAGCTCCTATCCCTATGGTGCCAGTTGGTGGGATCCAAATGGTTCACTCTGTGCCGCCGGCCCTTTCCGGCTTACATCCTCCACCCACATCACCGCTGCCAGTGGAGGGCTCTATGGAGAAGAAAGCGGCGCCCAGGGAGTCCTTCGGGAAGGATCCCTATGCTCTTCCTAGGCAGTATGAGAAATGGGCGCCTCACATCCTGCAGTCATCTGGTCTACCGGGCACTCCCTCCTCACCTCGGCTGTTGATGAAACAGAGCACTTCCGAAGACAGCCTCAATGCAACAGAGAGGGAACAGGAGGAGAATATACAGACTTGTACAAAAGCCATTGCCTCTCTTCGGATTGCCACAGAAGAGGCGGCTCTGCTCGGGGCTGATCAGCCAGCACGGGGGCAGGAGCCCTCCCAGAAACCCTTGGAAAGTGCACATGTTAGCATTAGACACTTTAGTGGGCCTGAGTCAGCTCAGCCCTGTACCTCAGCTGCCCACCCTGACTTGCATGATGGTGAAAAGGACAATTTTGGTACAACACAGACTGCATTAACTCACTCCACATTTTACAGCAAGAGTCGCGTGGACGAGAAACAGTCAGACTTTCACAGCAGCAAGGAATTATCCTTAAGCACAGAGGAAAGCAATGAACCTTCATCAGAAAAGAGTCAGCTACATTGATCTGAGATGCATGGACACTTTCATTTCCACACGTCCCCCTTTTTTGTTTTTGTTTTTCTAGAAATAGAGGTAATCAAGTTTATAGCATGCCTGTCCTAAGTTACAGTAGTTTGCTATTATATATACTTTTGTTATCTCAAAAGAATTAGGTAAATTAACACGTCATCATGAGCCTGACCAAAACAAAAATTTGAAATTAACCTATTGGGTCTGGTACTTTTTAAATTGTACAGATGTTTGTGCCTTTTCTTTACTTTGCTTATATTCTTATAAGCATTTTTTAGCAGTAATCTGTACATATTTTAGAATTTGTGTATCTGCTTTGTAATAAATGTAATTTCTTTCCTTTTTTGGACACTTGGATCTAAATGATGTAAAGCAAAACAGCATCATATATATGTGAGGTTGCACTAAAACATATTTTTATATGATAAAAACTGAACAGCTTTTATGTACAGCTCTGATTCTGTAATACTAATATTTATTTACTTTGTTTCATAAATTGTACATTTTTTCTTAATGTTGTGGATTGCTTTTCTATGTGAAGCATGGGATTTACTGTTGCATAACTAGAACAAAAATGTACATTGTAAACAAGATATTTAAATTAGAGTATCTTATTCTGCACTTATGCATTAGTTACAAAAGATAAAGGATGTATCAGTCAGTTCTTAACTCCTGTAAATTTTTTGTCTCTTGTTTGCTGGATTGACTATAACTTAAGAGCTGATTGTGATTTTAAACTGATAGTACCGTAAAGCATTAAAGTAAACAATGTGCTATTGTGAGTTTTTTCAAAGCTTTATAAATCAGTTATAAATAATATTAAAAGTATTTGGTCTTATGTGAACATGTTGATCTATATACTCATCTAAAAATATGGGAAAACATTCCACCCCATGTAAATATGTACAAGTGCATCACTGGTACAATTTTATGTAACTCAGTTGGATGCTAGGTTGCCACAGACTTATGCTAGGGTGTCTTTCAAAATTACAGTGACAAAGAACTTGGGACTGTAGTGCTTGGTTATCGGCTGGCCCGGTGGCTTGGCAGGCAGTGCTGTGCGCTGTCCATAGAGGAGACCCGGGTGTAGAAATCTCCTTAGGTCTTGAAGCACAGGACAGTGAGTGGAGCTAAGGCTACATGGAGGGGTCACGCTTGGACTCTGAGGGTTGGGTGTGGAAGTGGAGGAGAGGGCTGGAGACCTGCCCCTCAGCTGTTCCTGGAAGCCTGTCCACAAGGTAACAGGGTTAACATCAGCATTAGGGGAAGTCACTTTACCCTTTTGTCTAGGGGGAGAGTGTCATGCTCCTAGCTATCTCAGGGGGAATGGAGAAGAGGAGCTTTCAAGGAAAAAGAACTCATGGGAGGAGGTCTTTTATATACACCATTCAGAATGGCTTTGGCTTAGTATGGAGGATGGGAAGAGTTTTGGTAGGTCCAGAAGAGCAGAGGGAGGGGACACAGCAACGTGTGCACATGCACGCACGTGTGTGCACACACAACTGGGTTATCTTTGTGCTATATAGTGGATTATAATTCTGTGAAACCAAGTTTGTATATTGAATTACATTAAGGAGTGTTCTTTACAAAGAGAAATAAATGTACAATGACATGCTTGAGGTGTCTAGTTCTTATGTGTTGGTTTATATTTCAGCTTCCCAGTTTTTTCCTAAAGGAATTTTGATACACCAGCACGTCTGTGCTTCTAACTGCTAGGCTGTGTCTGCCCTGAGCCATGCTGAGTGTGAACACTTTAACAAGAGAGAAGATGTTCATTGGTCCCCAGAGGTCATCTGATCAGAGCAGAGCGTGCCCTAGAAATGGATTCGTCCCAGCCTAAGCCTGAGCATGGACAGCATGCGTTGTACCTGGAAAAAGTCATGAATAAAACACATTTTCTTGTGTCTTCTGCCTTTCTGTCAGTATGCAGACAGCTGAAATCCCACTGGGGAAACTTCTTTTTTAGTTTTGCTGAGATACCTGAAGTAAAAAACCAATTGAAAACACCATGAAATATCCACAAATCGTAGTTCTTCTATTAAAAACAATAGAACATTTAAGTAATGAAAGCAGAAGAACATAGATGGTCAAAATCTCTCAGTATTTTCATTATAGAAATCTCAAATTGGTGGATTTACAATTTGTCTATTTTTAAGCCAGACTGTCTTTTTAAACTTTTACAAAGATGAATTAAACGTCAACACAACCAGCCAGCCTAGTACCTGTCTCTTAACAAGGAGAGTCCCTGAAACATGTTGATTAAATGTGGGTGATATTTGTGTCTTATTCTTCATTGATGTGTGTATTTTTGTCTGTACATGTGTGTGATCCCTCTTTGCTTCTTTTTCTACCTAATTCATCACTCATGTATTCACCTACTCTATAAAGAGTTTTTGAGAGCCAACTATTGGCTAATAGGATGACAAGCACTTAAAATGAGTAAGAATGTGCCTGGCATTGAGCTCCAGTATACTGGAGAGACAGATGTGAGAAAATGTGTGTAATATGATGTTAGTGCTAAAATATTTGCACATTTGGCTTATTTTATAATTATAAAGGAGAAAGTCATCCTTAGGATGGGAAGAGGGAGACTTCATTAAAGATGAAAACAACCTTGAAGCAATGTATTGACTAAATTATTAAACATACTTTTTCAACACCTACATGGGGCACTGTTTTGTATATTGTGTGTACAGTGCTACAGAAAACAAAGTCTTTGCCTTCATGGAGTTGATATTCTAGTAGAGAGGGCATTTTTTTAAAAAAGTTAGAAGAAGAAGCAGGAAAGTGCGTGTTAGTTAACCCAAGAGTATGAAGCAGTAAATGATGAAAAGCAAGATGGCGCTGCCTCCATGGCTATATGATGGGGTGATACATGTTAAACTACAAGCCACAGCAGAGTCCAGTTTCCATATTCAGCCCAACAACTTGGCTCTGTAATCAATGAGAAGGCAAGATGAAAGCAAGAAAATGGCCTTGCTATGGTGTTGTATTATTGTGAGAAGAAAAAATCCATTCTGACCACACATGATGATCAAATAAGTTCAGAGGAGAGAAAATGGAAACAGAGACTGTCAGGTAAAAGTGCCGAAGACCAAGGCCAGACCAGGCCACAACAAGCCTTTATTAGGGGAATAGATCTGCCGGGCTGTCTCTGAACAAAGGAGAGACAAAAGCAACATGGCCGGGGCAGGGAGAGTCTTTTATAGAGACAGGGATGTGGTTCATAGGGGCTGAGGTGGGGTTGAGTAAGCTAGTGATCAGGGAGTGGAGGAGCCGGTGACATTACTAGGTGGTAGGAGGTGAGCGAGTATTAGGTTACTCTCTAGGTGGGACCAGGGCCATGCTGGGAAGAAGGGTTTGTTCTTTGGTGGGGGCAACCATCTTGGCATGACGTCACACAGGGGAGGGGTCAAGGCACCATAGGAAGAGGGCAGCTACTATACATAATGGCTGCTGAGGTAGTGGAAGACCTATCAGAGACCAGTTAGAAGAATTGCAAAGTGACAACATTTCCATGGAAATAAAAGGCAGTGACAGAAACAATGGATGAGAGGAACCCTGGGAAACAAGGGAGAGTTTTACTGAATGAAGAGGAATTGATCCTAGCTAGCCTGACTTGGTGTTGGGGATGAAAGGGATTGTGAGTTTTAACTTTGCAATGAGAGTGGTGTCATTAACCCACAAGAGGGTTTGTGCAAGGTACACGCAAAGAAATGAGCTCCTCTTAGGCAATCAGAATGAGAAATCCAACCTCAGACAAGAAAGGCTGGAGAGGTGTTTGTCAGTTCTTAACACACGGTTGTGCTGAGAATGCTGAACTGAACTTCCCAAAACGTGGAAGAGGAAAACAGCACATCCAAAGGTGGGGAAGGGCCATGGGAGGCAGCAAAATGTGCTTGAGATAACAGCACATCCTGTGTGCTGCACAAACATGATACATCATTTTGTGATACTTTGCAAAGCAATGACAGTAAGTTTTTTTCTCAGCTAACTGCTAGAAAGCCAAACCCAAAGAACATCTCTGTGTATGTGCGTGTGTGCATACGTGTGTATGCTTAACAGCAAGTTTATTACTAAGCAATTTGATATTATTAAACTAATTTGTCATTTATAAATATTCCAAAGCCTCAGGTATAGAGAGGTCAGATGTAGTTTTCAAGGAGAAATAGGGGATTTGCTGGAGAACTAAGGTTAAAAAGACACCTCCCAACTCTCTATCCAGATTTGCTTAAAGAACAGTTTTCAATCATTTATATTCATCTCACTTAGATCATCATTATAATCACAAGAAATTTACAGAGAAGTTTGCTAGGGTAGAATATGCTAGAATAATACAAGAAACAAAATGCTTTTGTCCTGGATAACTCAAGTTATTACTAGCTTAGAATATGTTGCTAAATAGAGTTGCACCTACTTTGCCTCTGTATAGATTCTTTCCCTCAGGTGTTGTTTCATATTATGTAGCACATAAGTTCCCACTGATTTTTGAAGGTGGAGACACATGTGCTTACCCATACTTTATATGCAGTAATAAACCAGGCTTAGTCATGCAGTAGTACTAAGGAAAATGGCAGAAATAACTGTATTTGCCATTAAAATGTGTCTTAACCTTAATAAGGAGAAGGTGCCGACCTTTGATTTCCTAGAGTCAAATGCGGATCAGTTTGTGTATACATACCCATGGCTTAACAAAAATTAAGGTTATCCTCAGAAATATCAAACCAACAGATTTTATCTTCATTCACTAAGTAACGATGTATTTCAAAGTTAGCAATAGATCGCTGGCATGTTTTACACTTCAAGCTTTGTTACCTTGTTAAAACATAAGTTTAATAAATATGGTTTGGTGTGTATAAAATTTGATTTCAGCAGAACAAAAATAGAAGGATTAGATAATGACACATTTTATTAATTCATTACAACCTTGTTAATGAAGAAAATATTTAAAAATCCAAAATGATTATTAAAATGCCTAAGGAGTTATCAAATGGTCATGTTTTCCAAAGCAAAATGGAAAAAAAAAAAAAGGTCAAGCAGTCTCATGAATAAATAAAAGAGAAAAAGCTAAAAAGGTTCAATATGACCTCTCCAATGGGAACAAAGCTTGGGGTTACCTGAAGAATAGTGTTGGTTTTGTACACATAGCAACAGGAGGCATGGCAGTAGGGGCCGGAGCTCCTTACTCTGAGGACATACTCTGCTAATCAAAGCTGATGGGAATCTGTGTGCTCTTAGGTATTCCTCATTTACAGCCAAGTGCCCAGCTCTGGAAAGGGCTTTGGGATTCATTAAGTTCATCTTGAATACCTCTACTCTTTTGAAGAATTTATCTTGAGTTCTAGGTCTGATCGTAATTCACCAATGCTCAGTTTTAGAAATACTCTGTCGTGATTTGAGTGCAGTCATAGCACTAGACTTTGCAGACTAAAAATTGTTAATTGTGATGTCATTTAAAAATGACAATGTTATACATTCTCAAAAAATGTCAAAAAATGGTATACACACGTTGTACATTGTCTAAGGATCCAACCTCTTTTATTAAGACAGCATACCAAAACAAAAATGATTTTGGGTTATAATGAGAAGTAGAATGTGCTGGCCTTGTTTCAGTTTTTTGTTTTCCTTGCAGTGCTGAGGAGCAAACCAAGGGCTTTGTGCATGCCAAGCAAGCACTCTATTACTGAACTACACCCTGAGTTCACTGGGTTTGTCTTAAGTGTTTTCATCTACTCACTTATTTAAGTCATAAAACCAAGGGAAGTCCCAGATCTGAGAGAGGCTGGGGCAGGATATTTGTGAGTTCAATTCCCACCTGGGCAACTTAAAATAAAAATAACAAGGTCTGGGAATGTATCTTAATGGTAGAAAGTCCCTGGGTTCAATCTCCAGTACCACAATATGTAAGTAAATAAATAAATACAGTGAGGAAAGTAATTTGATTAAGCTGACATACCTAGTAAGTGGGAAAGCACACTTTTAGATTTTAAAGTAGTACAGACTTCCTGCAATGGCAAAGAATGTTCTGTTTGCTCTTTCTAATACAAAATAGCCTCTAACTACATGCAGCTATTGGGCACTTGAAGTGTGCTGAGTGCAACAAAAACCTGGATTTCAAATTCTGTTTAATTCTCTTTCATCTAAACTTTAGCAGCCACCTGTGGCTGGTGGTTCCAGCACTGGACAGCAGCTGCCCACACACCCTCTGTGAATCCTGTAGCTCGGCTCCGTATGTCTTACTCACTTGAACAACACTGAGATCCTGTCACAGGCCAGCTCTGATCTTGGTGCTGAGAGCAAAACAATGAATAACAAGAAACAAAACAAAACAGAAATAAAAGCCACCATAGAACTAGCGCTCAGTGCTTACCATTAAATATCCAGTTAGGGATTTTGCTGATGCAATTGATGGCTCTGCTTTCTGGTGAATTTGGGGTCCAGGGAATCACTCACTTTTATGAAGAGATAGATGGAAAATAGAACACGTGCTCAGACTGGTGTGCACGCTTTCCTTCTGCCTTAGGCTAAATGCATGCATTTCCCTCCTGAGGCCTCAGACTAAGAGCTAGGACTAGGCTCCTACAGAGGCCCTGCCTCCACCTACTGTGTTTGCACAG